GACAAGGGTGCTCAAGGCTGGTATCATTAGCAGACAGGAGGAAATGGGCAGGAAGCCAAATTCAAATGTAGATTAAACAGGGAAGGGGAGAGATATATGAGGGACCTTAAAAGTGATAACAAGAAACTTGAATTTGACAGAATGGAAAACTGAGGTGCCAGCGGAAGTACAGTAAATTTCCGATAATCCGGCACCTTTAGAACCCAGGGGGTGCCAGATTATCAGATATGCCAGACTATCAGAAGTGGGGGCTATGAGGGGTCTGGAGTGGAGTGGAGTGGGGGAGGAGGATGCGCCCCTCGGCGCTGCGGGACCAACCCGGAAGTACCCCAGCTACTCTGCCCCTGGCTTCCCCGATTCAGCCGCTGCTGAAGCTGACCAGCGGCTGACTCGGGGAAGCCGGGGGCAGAGCAGCTTCAATTGTCCGGCTGCCCGGAGCACTTCCGGGTTCCAGATGGTGCCAGACCATTGGATGCTGGACCACTGGAGTTTTACTGTGTTCAAAACAAGAGTGATATGATGAAAGCTCTGGGAAAAGAAGCATGGCAAGTGCATTTTGTATGAACCAAAAGAGGAAGATATAGGTGTTAGGAATATCACAGGAAAGATTGCAACAAACAACATGAGACACAAAGCTTAGAGTAAGTTTTCAGCTGTAGAAATAAAAAGGAAAGATTGGATGGAAAATGAAAACATCAAGATTTAAGCTTCATAACCTCAAACACCTGTGATAGCAGTGCTCTGTTAAAACATTTAACTAGTCAGTAAACTGCAGGGAACCAAAGCACAGAAGAGAGAACTTTTAATAGAAATTTCAGACAGTCTGCAGAACTCAATCACAACATACAAAAAAAAAAAAAAAAAAAAAAAAAAGACTACGAAACACGTTTTCAGAAATAAATGCAAGACTTAATTCTTAACCGGCAGCACAAAGGCTAAGTCTAACAGAAATGTTCAGAAAAACCTGTAAACTAATCAAGCTAATTCTTTTATGGTCTGTGAAAAGATAAATATTTTCAAAATATTGGGGAAGCTATTATAATTTCACCATAGGAGATTCTCATGCACACAGTAGTCGTATATGATAATTCGCACTAATATGATAATTCCTGGCCAAATTCAAAAGGCCAGAGTAACTTGTAGACCTTTCAGCTTGTAATACTTACATTTTTCGCCGTCATGCCAGGCAGTATTTCTTTATATTCTGTAAAACCATAAGTTATCCTTTTTCATCTTCAAAATGTACATCCTGTTAAGACAGATTTTAACACCTTATATAACTGAAATGAATTCCTGAAGAACATCACTAATATTTACCCAGTAGACTGTAAATGGCTGTCTTATGTAGTTATAATTTTCAACAACAGATTAAACATCAACATTGCCTTGAGTCACATTTTGCAACGGCACTGGGAGCACAATATGATTTATAATAGCTATGAACAATAAGGTGGTATCATTAAGGGCCCAATTAACTACTACTACTACTACTACTTCTACTAGAGGATTTTATTAGTGAATGAAGAAACCAAAACCCCAACTTGGGTATAGACAGTGCACATTTATCAGAAATCGGAACTGAATTAATTCTCTCTAACTGATAAATGTTCTCTAAACCACCTACCGACTTTCAGCAAAAACAACAGAGAAAAGACCTGAGATTCTAGACCTCACATTTAAAAACATATGCAAAACGTGTTCTGGCATTTTTTCAGGCCTTCTTTTTAAGTCCCAACAAGAAAAAATAATCCAGGTTCATCAAATCCAGAGAGGTCAATTTCTGATATTCCAGGTACCATGCTTCCTTTTATAGCTCACCTCCCGAACATTTGAATTCTAAGGGGAAGAAGAATGTGTGCAAGTGCTCCTTTGCTAGGCAGCACTTGGAGAAGCTTCCATCATGTAGATTGTACCACTGGTGCATTTTCAGAAGCAGCAATATGAAGAGGATATATGATGTATTGTCTCTCTCTGCTGTGCTGAGCATTACCTGAAGTAAGCTCCCACAAATAAGTGACCACTACTCTGAGTTGCATATGAAAATTTCAAGTAGTTTTATAAAGAAACAATTCTAAAATTGGAGGTTACTGAAAAAAATTGAATACAGATTACTAATGAACACTGCAAAGTTGATAAAAATATAAAACTAATTTAAAAAGTCACAAGATTAGATTTTTATTTAGATAGAGGGCTTTTAAAAACAATAACACTCTTTAAATTAGAAACTGATAAACATGGCAAGGCCTAAATTTATGATAATCTATTCAAATCTAAATTATATACATACTCTTAAATATTTTGTATTTGCTGCTAAGTTTTAAAGAAAGTCAAAACCACTGAACTGGTAAAAACCACTGTAAGCACCTGGAACCGGAAGTTATTGAACTGTTAAACCAGCTTTCAACAGCAGCAGTCCTTCTGAAGATAGAGAGAATCTTCTGCATTTCAGGTTATTCAACTTGTTCAGTTCAAGGACTATTTAAAGCTGAACCTTGGGATGTTAAAGTGAGTGTAATTAAGTAAGGGTGTAAATAATGAAAATTTCAGCCATTATATGGGGGATGGCAGTTGGCTCCTAGGGAGCCGGCTCCCCATACCATTGTCTCTGATAGAGAAGCAGCAGTGTGGGACGGCAGGCGGCTCCCCAGGAGCTATTACATGCATACTAGCAGTCTGCATGTAACCATCAACATTAACCGATGAGGCCAGGCTCATAGGTTAACTGTTTACATAGTTACACTTTCACATCGCCAGTTGCAACACTGCCTGGGAGTCCCCCCCCCCCAAAGGCAAGAAATTTTGTTTTCTTCTACCAGTCCATGAATGCAAACTAAACATGAGATCTACTCATTCTAAGTTGAAGGATACAGAGACCAGAAAGTCAGTTCAATTCATCACCTACATATACCTTTCTTTGTTTTAAATAAAGCAACCAAAGAGTGGGAGGGCAGTACTGAGCACCAGCTGCTTAGTCTCAGTAGCTCCCCTTACTTAGCTTCCTATCTCTCTTCCACCCCCCAAGCAAATCTCCACTTCTTCCCCCCGTTTCTCCATGGTGGTTAAAAGAGGGGGCTCATTCCCTTAGACTTAGCTGGGTCCTGGAGTCTATGTTGGTAACTAGGAGGAGTATTTTGTAGAGCACTCTAAAACACTGCAGTCTAATTGCCCTGTGTATATTCTCTGGCATGCTAAAAAGTACCTCATTTGCCAGCAGGGTTTACATGGGGCAGTTACAGAGCAATACTTCAAAGTGTTCTTTAGACACCCCAGTCTGTAGGGAGATGATTAATCCATTCCAAAACCCACAGGAAATCTCTCTTGCTTCGCTTCCTCTGAGACTTTGACTATGAAATCTGTGCATGTGCCATTGTGCCAGTAGAGAAGAATACCTCGATACCAACTAGCAGAGGGCACGAGTGTCCATAAAAGTTTCAAGGACCCCTTGGGTCTGATATTTACATCCTAGTTCACCAAAAAGTATCATGTAAGGCAGGGGTGGGGCACCTGAGGTCTGGGGGCCTGATGCAGCCCCGGCTTGTCTGGATCTAGCCCCCATGGCTCAGGGCTCTCCCCACCAGTATTGGGGAGCCGACAATGGGGCTGGAGTACACAAATCCTACTAGCCTGGGACCTCATAGGCTCTGGTGTGATAGGGGAATATAGGGAGTGTCTTTCTCCTTCTCAGTTGGGGGCCACCTTAGTAAGGGTTTGTTTTGCGTATTTTTGCTTCTCACTTGTGTGCGGCCCCCAACTGATGTTACTTTGAGTCAGTGGCCCCTGAATCCAAAAAAGGTTCTCCACCCCTGAATTGTAAGATTTCTACTGAAAACCTGAGTCTCACTGGTTATCATAATTTTGCAAAAGGTATATAGGGATAATACATAGTGAGATGTATACCCTGAAAATCTTAAAGCCTTGAAATTAAAGGCGGGTGACCCGTTTCAACAGAAAAAGGGAGACACTCTTAGGCTACGTCTACACTATGACTTTTGCCAGAAGAGGCAAAGAAAATGAAGCGCAGATTAGCATCCTCGTGCTTCATTTGCATAATCTCTTCCAATCTGTTTCTGTGCAAAAACAAGCAGTGTGGATCTTGCCTTTTTGCGCAAAAAAACCCTTGTGCAAGATCATACCACCTCCTTTTTTGAGGCATAAGGGCTTTTTGCGCAAAAAGGCAAGATCCACACTGCTTGTTTTTGCACAGAAACAGATTGGAAGAGATTATGCAAATGAAGCACGACGATGCTAATCTGCGCTTCATTTTCTTTGCCTCTTCTGGCAAAACTCAGTGTAGACGTAGCCTTATCTTCCTGACTGAATAGTTTGTATTGTATGTTTTAGGAGAGAAGTCTACTTGTATTCTGAGTCGAACGCTAACAAAGATACTGTGAGGACTCTAGAACAAGAAATTAACAGGAACAGTGAACAAAACGGGGGGATGGAAAACCAAGGACTGGTCTAATATAGCTAGGAGTGCAGAGATGTGCCCATGCATCCATCTGGGGAGACAAGTTGCCAGCCTGTTTGCTCTTATGAAAGGAGAATCTCAGCAATGCTGGTTGAAAAGCCTCTTTTAAAAGAATTTCATGTAAGTAGTAACTTATTAGACAAGAGGGCATATTGTTAGTTGAATAAAGGTAACAGGATGCATGTTATTTTATATACAGGCAGTCCCCGGGTTACGTACAAGATAGGGACTGTAGGTTTGTTCTTAAGTTGAATTTGTATGTAAGTTGGAACTGGTACATATTGTACGGGAAACTCTAGCCAAACATTTCTCCAGAGCTCAGTTTTATTCTCCCACACCTCACTTCCCTCAGTCCTTTATTCTCAAGCTGAGGTGTCTGCTGAGAAAAGCCGCGGAGGACGTGGGTGGTGGGACCGCGGCGCATCTCTGTGGTCTGCTGGGGGGGGGGGCGCGGCTAGTGCGGGGTTGCCTCACCCTCTTTGTAAGTAGGGATCCGATATAAGTCGGATCCATGTAACCCGGGGACTGCCTGTATAACCATTTGTTTCTGCAGGACAAGGACAAGAAAGACATTGGCCTACCTCTCTTCCCCTCCACATACAGATTTTGATCACAGTAGGGTCAAAAAACAAACAAAAAAAAAGACAATTAAGGTGAATCATCTTAGAGAAAAGTTCGGGAATACTAAACAGGTGCACTGAACTTGCCTTCTGAAAAAAGTACGTATTGGTTAAATTATGTTGCATTTTTCATAGCTGTGCAAATTATGAATTACATAATTTATGGTAGACAAGTCAGCTGCCTTCCATAGCAACACTGCAAAGCATAATGCTACTTTGCAAGCAGAGAATAAGATCTGAAACTACAGTGTTAGTAACAGATAAAATATCACACATACAAGTGCTAGGATATCTCAAAAGTAGCTTCCTAAAAGTGGAGATTTATTCCTCCCACCCCTCCCAACATAAAGAATAACAAGTAGATTCTACTTAGGCAAGCTGTGATAAACATTTGAAGCCAGCATCCCCCAAATGTAAAAAACAGAGGTCTTGAAATCTGAAGAGAGCTGAAATCAAGAAGTTCAAGCAATTTCATCAAATGTCTGAGGAAACAGAGGAACAACTTCCAAGACAAACTGAACTTTTTAAGGGTTACTGAAATTCTTTTCAGCAAATCTGCCATCAAAAGCACCTGATGATGTAGCTTAAAGTAGGGATGTGAAAGTTTAATTGGTTAACCGGTGCAGCTGGAGCAACTCCCCACCTACTCCAGGCAGAAGGCTTCTCGAGCCCCATGGGGCCATCCCTCAGGACAGGGGCTGCTCCAGCCGAGATGTGGGAGCAACACCTGCCTGTGGGGCATCCTGGCTGGGGCAGTCCCTGTCCATGATGGGCCCAAGCACCTGCAGGCAGGGGCTGCTCCAATCAGGATGTCAGAGCAACTCCTGCATGTGGCAGGGGGAAAGGCTATAAGCAGAAGCTCCTATGGTCAGGCTGCAGTTCCAGCCAAGCAGCTGGTGAGGAGGCCACTCCAGAGGGCTGGAGTGCCCGCACTGCCGCTGGTTAGCCAATTAAACAGGATTTTGTATCTCTAGCCTAAAGGAGTATTTAGAATGTAACCTGAAAAATGGTGAAATCATACCAAGTTAGAATTTCCATAGATGGTTATTTGCCAAAAGTATGTGAAAATTATGTAAAAGAAAAAGAAAAGCTAAAGACTGAACTGACAGTGTCGTCAATGAGACCACAGATGCTGATCAACATGTTGATAGTTTTCAGCAA